CCCAAACCCCGCATGCGCCATGCCCTTGCCCATGCTCCGCACAAATCGCCGTGATCCAAGCCAAAGCCAAACCAAACCAGTTCAAGCTAGGACATCTTGCAACTTTCTCCAACACAAAACCATCTATCACAGGAACCCATCTCGAACGCGCCGTATCTTGAACTGCCCACACCAAGCCCATCCGCTGAAGAACAAAAGCCCGCACAATCTCTTGGAAACACTCACCCCAAACGTAACCTCAACCAATCCTAAACCATAAACCTCACACCCTGAGCATCATTGATGTGCTGACTCGGACAATCCAACAACCAAACAGCACTGCTACTAGCAGACGTTGCACGGATGCTCGCGTTGACAGTAGGTCATTAGGGAAAAAACACTCCAGCTGGTAGCATGGATGCTGCCATAAAGGTGCACTCAGAAACCTACGTTCCTGGGTTGGCGGCTCTCGTCCACATGCACCAGCAACCTGAAGGTACTATGCTTGCCTGCTTGCAATCTTTGCACCGTCCGGTTTCTGGTGCAAGTTGACGAGAGCCGCCAAGGCAGGAACTGTTTCTGAGTGCACCTCAATGGCAGCATCCATGCTGCCAGCTGGAGTGTTTATTTCCTAATGACTTAACACATGTCAATGCGAGCATCGATGTAACGTCTGCTAGTAGCGGCGCTGCTTGGTTGTTGGATTTCCCGAATCAGAGTCTCAAACAATGGCCCTGGCTTGCACTTGGCTCATCGCGGTTTGTGCGGCTTTTCGTTATTGGGAGCATGGGCTATAGGGCACGGCGCACGCAGGTTTGGGGCATGAGATTTAGGGTTTTGGGTTCAGGTTATGTAAGGGTTGGTGTCTCCAGGTTTCGGGCGGTCTTGTGTGTTCAGCTGTTGTCTTTTCGTGGCATGGGGTTGTTCTCGGTTCAGGGCTGCGGCTGTTAACGTCTGTCATAAGTAGCTCTTGTACATGGTTTGGCTTCGTATCGCTTTGGGGGCTGTCGGGGTGCGTTGGTTGTGCATCAGTTCTCCGCACCTTCGAAA